GGTATTGGTATTGCTCATGCATTGCCAAGGACTTCCCGACCAGGAATAGGGCATATTGCCATGTTCTCACAACGTATTTCCAAAACTTCCTTGTTTTTACATGAGAAATTACAGCGGCACCTACAGCTTCACTAGGTATTTACCACATTGCTTCACGCATCCTGCCTCCAACATGCCGGGCATCTTGGTTGCTATGTTCGTGCCTGGGTAAGGTGCGGTGAGGGAAGCTGCAAGTGGTAGTTAGGAGTCAGTCAACCGGTGTAGAGACGCCGTTCGAGACACGGACAGACTTATTTCCCGTCATGAACTTGTTGATATTCCCAGGATTTATTACCCCGACGGCACCCTCAGAGACTTTCTCAACCACCATCATAATTTTCGAGCAGCTACTTCTCTCAAAGAGCAGTGACGGCTGTTGGCTCTCCTTATACAAGTTGACCTAGCTGGTTGAGAGCCTGGTTCACAGGCCTCTGCATCTTTAACCATGTTTTTCAGGGTCTCAATCATCGGCTTCCTCCAAGCACTGACGGTCTTTAGTGCTGCCACTGCGTCTTCTTTGGTGCAGAGAGACTCATCATGCAATACTCCAGACAATCGGGCGTGCTGGACAGATGGTTTCAACATCACGACTGACTGGGAGAAGGAGGTACCATTCACCGGCCGTACCGTTAATGTAAGACACACAACTTCACGAAGATGGAACTTGACTCCGACTAACAGATGTCAGTATACGCTTGTCCTTGAGCAGTATGACATAATTGGCCCGGATGGTGTTCTCAAGCATGACGCGATGCTGTTTAATGGTGAGCGCCAGAAAAAAAACATAGATCCAAAGTGTCAAAGCATAACTAATCTTTTTCTAGGCTCCTTCCCTGGTGAGTTCTGACATTGATTATTTTGATAGCGCACTAGACTACTAATCTTTCCATGCAGGTCCAACCATTACCGCAGGTGCGTTATCATGGCATGCCCGATTCTCAAGACATTTCTCAGGATCTAAAGCTGATTAGAACACAGATTGGGGTGACTGGGTCAACGTCACAATTATCAACAAGCTTTTGTACAATGGGTACGTTTCCAGCGTTTGGTTTCGAAAAAGAAAACAAAGCCATTCACGAATTAGCAGTAGGAATATCTTAAGGATCTGTACTAATGGGGCATAGTACATCCATTCACTGGCATGGCTTACAAATGGAAGACAACAACATCAATGATGGCGTTGGTGGTGTCACTGAGTGCCCGATCCCACCGAATGCAACAAAATCCTACCTGTTTTTGGCCGAACAGTACGGAACTACCTGGTACCACTCTCACTACTCATCACAATACGGCAACGGTGTTCTTGGCGCTATAGTATTCAATGGGCCGGCAAGTGCCAACTATGATGTTGACTTGGGCACCTTTCCCATCAATGATTGGTATTACGAGTCAACAGACCAGATCTTGGCCCAAGTACAAGCCCCTGGAGAACATGGAGGGCCAACCATTCCGCCCCCTCCCGACAACATTCTCTTCAATGGTACCAATGTTAATCCGGCTGATATCACCATGGGAGAGTACGCGAGGGTGGTATTGACTCCTGGGCTGAAGTATAGGCTTCGGTTGTTTAACCCCAGCGTGAATTATGCGTACACATTCTCTATCGTAGGACACAACTTCACCGTCATAGCCACCGATCTCGTGCCTGTTAATACCACCGACCCAAGCACCACGGTCTCAAGCCTCTTCATCGCCGTAGGGCAGCGATTCGATATCATAATCCAGGGAAAGTCTGAAGAAGAGATTGCTAGTGACCCCGGTAACGGCAACTACTGGATTAACGCTACCCAACCCATCAGTGGATATTGTGGGAATTTCTATGGAAAGCCTGCGGCCATCTTGAGCTACGACTACCCGGACGCAACGGACGAACTTCCGATTATTGATGGACCGGTACCAGAAGATCTACGCTGCGAGGATACCACCGACTTTCGGCCCGTTGTGGTCCGCGACGTTCCCCCGAGCGAGTTCAGTATCTCTCCATATAACACGCTCCCGGTTCATCTCATGCGCGACATGAAACAAAGCAAAGTTTTCTGGACTATCGATAACGTCGCCATCAACGTCAGTTGGGAGCAGCCTTTGCTGGAATACATCCGAGAAGACAGCACCTCGTGGCCTTATAGTGAGAATGTGCTGGAAATTCCTCCCGAGAGCGAGGTGGGTCGCCCCCCTTTCTTTCCCCCCTACTCTTTCAAAGCTATGATATATGAATATTATCAGAATGCTAACCTAGGTCTAGTGGAGCTTTTGGCTCATTGAGAACGAATCCAAGATTCCTCATCCCATGCACTTACACGTAAGTAGACCCATCCCCCCTTACGATCCAAGCATCTGGGCCCCAGGAGACCTGCTCTTCTCACCATACCATTTACACAAGCTTGTGTATGCTTACACACGACTGTGCAAAACACCTGCAGGGTCATGACTTCATCATCGTCGGCAGGTCCCCGGCACCCGACGGCCCAGGCCCGTCCGACGCCATGATGCCGGCCAGGCATTTCGACCCTGTCCTTGATACTTCCTCTCTGAACTTCACGAACCCGGCACGGCGTGATGTCACAATGTTGCCCGGTAACGGCTGGCTGATTGTGGCCTTCCAAAACAACAACCCGGGTGCTTGGTTATTCCATTGCCACATTGCCGTAAGCAACTTGTCCACTCCCTCCTCTCCAAGTCACCGTGCTAACATGAATGTAAAATGAAAAGTGGCATGTCAGTATGGGCTTGAGCGTGCAGTTTCTCGAAAGGAAGAACGAAATCAAGGAAAAGATGGATCTGAACTCGCTCGTGGACAACTGCAACGCCTGGCAAAGCTACATTGATACTAACCCTCTTTATCAGCCAAAGAGCGATTCTGGTGTCTGAGGTAGCTGAAGGAGCCGTAGCCTTACTCACACCACTCCAGATGACTTGGTAGAGTAAGGGGCTTGGCAGGTGGAAAGTTGGCTAGACACAATAGGATGTAGTTGACGCGCAAGGGTATAAAACCGGGCAGGATATGAAGCCAGAGACGCGACCCTTTTTTTTTTTTTGGTTGGGTATTTCTTTGGCTGCCATTCACTGGCAATGAAAACTGGGTATATAATACTACACCGTGGTACGAGAAATATACGCTCCCTCTGCCTCTCAAACGGAACCTCCCTCAAAGCTTCAAGCTTTCTTGACCTCCGCCTGGAACTTGACTACCCAATCCGAGAACTCGTCCTTCTCGCCATCCCATGGCTTGATCAGCAGCTCAGCCACAGCAAAGCAATCGAAGAAGCACTGATCCATCAACTTGTCGATCTCCACAGGATCCAACTCGTAAAACGCCAGAGCCAGGCTACCGAACCTCTCGGGGATCTTCTTTAGCAGAACCATGATCTCGTCCAACCGCGTCGGGAGATCCGAACCCTCCGCCGGCGCAGTCTGCGGTAGGCTCTTGAGCCTGCGCTTCGCAACGGCCTGGTACAACAGCGTCACCAGCCTCAACCGGCGCAAACAGCTCTCCAGCCGCTCGCGGATCTTGTCTGGGTCATCGCGCGGGATGTAACTCGACGAGTTCATCAGATCGTCAAGCATAGCTTGTGTATCCGCAATCTTTGTCGCCTCCAGTGACTGTGTAACCTCCTTCACCCCCTCGTCTTCTTCGTCTTCGTCGTCGTCCTCTTCTTCCTCATCCTCATCATCACTCCCCGTCTCCTCCCCCCACTCCTTCAACTCCTCCATCACATCCTTGACCGTGTCCCTCAACTCCTCCGTCTTCTTTACCAGGTTTCCCCCAAACCCCCTCTTCGCGAACGCAACCAACTCATCACACGCCGCCCACAGCGTTCCCGTGTTGGCAATGCTTCCCCTCCCACCCTTTGCCGGCCCATCCTTCAACGCCTTCCCATCTCCCGGTATCTTCCCCACCAACGCCCTCGTCTCCCTCAACACCCTCGAAATCCGGTACCCCAGATCCTGGCTGATTGTCTTTGTCCATTGCGAAGCAACACAGATTTGCGCGGCGCTGGCGAGTCCCGGAAGCGGACCGGAGGTCAATTGGCGGAGGATGGAGATGATTGCTGAGGGCGTGAAGGGCTCGTTGATGATGAGCAGCGAAAGCTTGGTGGCGTGGGCGCGGAGGAGGGTGGCGGAGTCGGAGGCGAGGGAGAGGGGGTTGATTTCGGGGTGGGGATTGGAGGGCTCTTCTGTAGAAGAAGGGGCAGAAGTGCGCTGGTTTTCGGCGGTGATGTTGGCGACGACGGTTTCGAGGCGGGTGATGAGGTCGAGGGTGGAGGTGATTAGGTTGTTGAGGGCGTCGAGGCCCGTGGGGTTGGTGGTGGTGGAGGAAGACATTGTGATTATTTTCTGTATTCGCAGTATCAAGTTGAATGAGGGTCGGCTGGGATTGTGCAGCCAGTTTGGCGCCTTTGTTGTTGCCGTCGTCGTCGTCGTCGTCGTCGCTGACGGTTGATGATGCTATTCGCAAAATCGCGGGGCAGCTTTGGGACTTTTTTTCTACGCTCGGTGGGGTCGTCGAAACCTTGGACGTTCTGGGTGGGGTACTTTTGGCGCGGCTTGGCAGCGACCTGGGCAGTGGGGGAGGGTTTACCGCGGCGTCGTCTCAAGGTTTCTGCAGCGCGCTTAACATTTGCTGCCCGGCAGAACTTGCACGTGACAAAAGGTACACCCAAGCGGACAGCTGGCGAAGCGCCGGCAGGAGTGCAAGTTGTCCTGAAAGGTACCCGACCACGTTCCCCGCCCCTGGGCACTCAGTTGCACTAACAATTACGGGATACCCCCACTGGGCGGACAGCTATCCGTCGAGCTACAGGGGCACCTAGCATGTCAACGATCTGGTGAAGCTGTACAACTGGCAATTGTCTTCGCGATTGTTCAACTTTGGATGGTTTGATTGTTTCCTTTTCTTTCCTTCTTTCTCTCGTTCTTCTTACCAGCTGGACAGACAGTAGAGTGGTATATAGTACACGACAATGAGACGGACTGCTGCTTTGGTGCTGTTGAGCACCATTGCTCCCACTGGCACTTTCGCTGCTACTGAGAGTGTCCCCAGAGGAGTTGGGCCTGAATGTAAGTGGAAGCTTCCCATGTTGTTTCACGCACCTTGATGGTCTGTCCGAGATTTTGGTGTTGGGCTGCGATGTTCACGAGTTGGCGTGGTACCACCATTTTAACTAAGAGAACTCTCTTTACCTATTCATTCTTCCAATGCTTCCTCCATCGATAAAGTATACCAATGGCCCAAGCACATTACCCTACGTCTCGAACCCGATAGCTAACCACCCCCAACCACCTCCTAAACAGTTGCCAAGTTCTATGCCAACAAGGAAACCTTCACCTGCATCAGCAACCCCTCGATCGTCCTCAAGTCCTCCCAAGTCAACGACAACTCCTGCGACTGCCCCGACGGCTCCGACGAGCCGGGAACCTCAGCATGCTCACACCTGGACCCTCTCTCGCCCGAGCAGCCTCTGCCCGGTTCCGTGACGGGCACCACCAACACCACGCGCGCCCTGCCCGGCTTCTGGTGTGAGAACAAGGGCCACATCGGTGCCTACATCCCCTTCATGTACGTCAACGACGGCGTGTGCGACCATGAACTCTGCTGCGACGGCACCGACGAGGCCCTCCACGTCGGCGGCACCAAGTGTGAGAACCGCTGCGCGTCCATTGGGAAGGAGTACCGCCGCCTCCAGGAGGAGCGTCGGCAGAGCAAAGAGCGGTCGGCCAAGCAGAGACGGACTCTCGTCAAAGAGGCGAGCGAGCTGCGTCGGCGCGTGGAGAGCAAGGTTGCTAGTTTGAAGGAGGAGATTGCCAACTTGGAGGTGCAGAAGGCGGAGTTGCAGAAAAAGTACGATGAGGTTGAGCGGGCTGAGAGAGGCAAGGTGGTCAAGGCGCCAGGCGAGGGCGGTAAGCTGGGTGTTTTGGTTGGACTGGCCAAGAAGCGCGTTGATGAGCTGAGGGATACCCTTGATAAGGTGCTGGATCAACGCGACGACTTGCAGGATCGCGTCGATCAGCTGGAGGACATCTTGAGCAAGCTCAAGGAGGAGTATAACCCTAACTTCAACGACGAGGGTGTCAAGGCTGCTGTTCAGGGCTACGAGAACTATGCTGCCGGCAAGTCTACTGAGAAGAAGTCGGAGGTTGTTGATGCCGATGTTTTGGAGGTCCTCAAGGAGGATGGCCCCGATTCGGGCATCAACTGGGCCGAGTTCCAAGAGGAAGAGAGCAGCGATGCCGATATTGGTATGTACCTTGTTCCTTCAACCCATCCCATTTTCACAGTCGATGACTAACAAGAAGCCCTAGTTTACAACCTAGAAGCCTACCTCCCGCCCTCCGTCCGCTCCTTCATCCACTCCAAGATCTCCTCTCTCAAAGTCTGGCTGATCGAGAACGGCGTCCTAGCCGACAACCCGACTACTGGCGGCCCTACGGAATCCAAGCTGGTCAAGGCCGCGCGCGACGCGCTCGAGGCCGCCCGCGCCGAGCACACCACCAAGACGTCGCAGCTCGCCGACGAGGAGCGCGACTTAGCCAAGGACTACGGGCCCGACGACATCTTCCGCGCACTCAAGGGCCAGTGCGTCAGCGCCGATGTGGGCGAGTACGAGTACGAGCTGTGCTGGTTCGATCGCACGACCCAAAAGAGCAAAAAGGGTCATGGCAACACCAACATGGGCAACTTTGAGCGGATCACTACCGAAATTGCCGATGAGGAGGATCGCGTGGATGGAAAGGGCCTGGGTAAGGGGCCGAGGATGGTGTTGAGGTTTGAGAATGGTCAGGGATGCTGGAACGGGCCGCAGAGACGGACAGATGTGTGGTTGGCGTGTGCTGAGAAGGATGAGCTGTGGAGGGTTAGTGAGAGCGAGAAGTGTGTTTACAGGATGGAGGTGGGCACGCCGGCTGCTTGTGAGGATGTGGGCGAGCCGGGGGTTGGAACTAAGGGTCATGATGAGCTTTGAGGAGAGACGGAGGGGGAGTTGGGTAACATGATTGTTTGGCAATGTTGTACAGTTGGTGAAAAGTTGGTTTGTTTGTTTGTCTATATGTGTGTGTTGGTCTGTATGTAGATCGTTTTGGGTCAAGCAAGCCTGCGAGGTGCTTTATGAAGAATCATACAAGATCGATTGGTATCTTAGACTATGGCGAGAAACAAGAAAATAGTAAAAGGCTGATCAGGGCTTACTACAAACATCCTGTCATCGAAGTCCAGCAGCTGCTAGTTTACGTCGCTTCATGGCTTCATCCTGGTCCGCTAATACCCTAGCAGTGAGCGCAGCCGTGGCGGCGTTGTTGATGCCACTCACCCGGCTAGATATACTCTCACCAGCACTCTTCTTGGCCTTCTTAGTCTCCTTCTCCTTGTCAGCGTCACCATTGGCCTCATCAGCCGTGCGCTTGTTCTTTTTCTTCTCCTTGCTGGCGCTCTTGTCCTTTTTCAGACTGTGCGTCAGGCCTTTCGTCTTGAGATCCTCCATCCGCTTCGATAACCGTTGAATATCCGCCTTATCGGTCGGCAGAATTGGAATAACGTCCTCTGACTTGAACGGTTCGCTGCACTCTGGGCACACCTCCTCTGTGATCATCTGTATCGCCATCTCCGCAAAGACGTGGCCGCAAGGGACCAGATAGACGGATTTTGTAGATGGTCCCAGCTCTTTGAGCGTAACGGGACACGCAAAGATTTCCTTTTCTTTTTTGTTGCCACCCCCGGGCGGCGTGTACCGCTTGAACTTGAGCTTGACCACGTCGCGAAGGGATTTGATGCCGGTGGAGGCGAAGCTAAGCTCGGTCGCGAAGATGGCTGTTGGCGTTGCCGTCGACTCACCGTTGCCCACGCTACTGCTATTGGTGCTGGTATCAACAAGCGCGGGAGGTGTTGTGTCTTGTTTGTTTTCGGAGGAGTCATCGTTACTACCGGGCATCAGCCCCTTGAGGATGGATTCGTAATTGTAGAGACGGCCGCGCCAGTCGGACACGACGGTTTCGAGATCAATGGGCTCGGACGAGATGGGATCATGGGTCCAGGCGTGGTTGAGCGATTCGAAGGCGGTGGCTTTAAGCTCGCTTATTGTCGGGTTGCGCGCTGCTTCTTTGACGAGCTCGCGTCGCTTGGGGATGGAGCCTCCGTCATTACCCATGATGGTGGTGATGGTGTGTAGGGGGCTGAGGGGGTAGTCGTTGCTGTGATCTTGGTTGACGGTATTCAATAATCCGTCAAGTACTGTAATTCGATAAAGAGAGTTGGTCGGGGACGGAGTGGCGTCGTTATGTACACTACAGGAGGTTGACGGAATGGACAGAGCAAGTTGCGGCAGAGATAAGATAAGAAATGAAGAAGGGGAAGATGTTGTTTGGTTGGTTGGTTCCTCCACTGTAAATTTAAAGTTCACGGCAGGGGGCACCTTCCATCCGCAGCGGGATGAAGCGCGTCAAAGCGTGCCCCTGTGCCAATAGCAGTCGTCCACTGCAACCTGTAATTGAAAGCTTGCAGATGCGTGCCTTCCACTGCCCGGCTTCCAGTTGTGAAATTCCCGTTGCGAGCCGTTGTCCCACCCAGGTGCCCGACTTTGAAGCCAAAGCCTCATGGGACGAGGCTGCAGGGGCGACAGGATCCATGCCCGCCAGCCAGGTTTAGTAGCTCCACCGTATTTCCAATTCCATCCACTGCCCTGAGCCCCCGCCGGCGACGGGGAACAACGTCGTCGACAAATTAACCAACGACCATCGGCTGCTTGGCACATTTTACGGCCCGCCGTGTTTCATCGCCGTTGTTGTTGATGATTTGGGTATACAAACCTTCTACTCGCGCATCATTCGAGAAGCAGATCACTGTAGCGGACGCACACCCAACGCCCGCGCAAACATCGATCCCGCGGCTCGAGACCTTTCCGTCCCCCGGCCCCGGCTACCTATCCAGCCAGGGCATCCACACGGACCCTCCCCCTCCTCTCCCTCCTCCCAATATCCATTGTGGTCCTTCATCCAGTGACGCAGCGTGGAACCCCTCCTTCTCGGGCTGGCTGTCGTCCACTCTCAAACTTCAACCCGACCGTTTCGTTTTCCCTCATCACCAACCACTTCAACGGCGACCCAACAGTCAAGGACCAGGGTCTCCCCAAGTTCCACCCTGTACCTTGACAGCCGGCGGTCTATCGGTCCATTCCCGACCTTCTCTCAACGACTCGTCTAAACTACTTTCCACTTCAGCTTGAAGGCCGCGATAGCTCCAAGCTTCTACGATACCCAGAACCACCCGCTTTACTTTTCATTTGGGCGCGCGTACTCACGAGTTATAACGGATTTGTATTCTATCTTCGGCCTATTCACTTCGTCTTGCTGACGGTCATTACGACTCACGAGCGTGTTACGTTGCTGGACACTACCGCACGCCCATTTGCCCGTTCCATCCAAACTATTTCAATCGCATTTGACCCCAACATCACCTGCTCCCATATCGATCAACCTCAAACCAACCACTGCAACCGACCTCGCGATTGCGCTCAGCCCACGACCCGCGACACGCTTGACGACTGCGACAAGAAGGCGCAGCTGTTACACACGCGCCCTTCGCCTCGGCCGGTCAACCGGCTCTTGAAGCACGTTGCCCCCGCCTACTATGGGCCAGCGACGACAGGCCTAGTTGCAGACGAGGCTGTCCGACATCTGAAAGAGATCAAGACATTATAGTCGGACAACACCAAGATGTCGCTCACAAAGGAGCAAGCAGCGGCAACGCTGGAAACATACATTCGCGATGTGAGGAATCGCACCTCTAGCGACGACGCGCGGAAGCGCGCTGCTCGGCAGATCAGAGATTTGGTCAACGTTGCGAAGCAAGGCAAGTCCACAAATCCTGAGTTTCTCCTCAGATTCCTGTCAGATATTGGAACCCATGCTAACATACAACGCTGTATAGAAATGGGCGCGGAGCAGTTTACGGCCTTTTTCAACACAGTCAACCAAAGGACCATGGCGCTTATACAAGGGACCGACACGTGTGACCGGATGGGCGGTGTTTACATCCTCGACGCTTTAGTCGACTTCGATGGTATCGACCTAGCCCTCAAATACAGTCGCTTCGAGCAGCACATTGGCTACATCCTCCGCAGCAAAGATGTAACACCAATGCAGCCCGCCGCGGTCGTCTTGGGAAAGCTCTGCAAACCCGGTGGCTCTCTGATCTCAGAGCTTGTTGATGCCGAGGTCAAGCTTGCTCTGGAGTGGCTCCAGTCAGAGCGAGTTGAAGAAAGGCGATATGCCGCCGTCCTCATTCTACGCGAGCTGGCACGCAATGCGCCCACTCTCATGTACCCGTACGTCAACTTCGTCTTTGAGCAGTCCTGGATCGGCCTCCGAGATCAGCGACTGTTGATCCGGGCCACTTCTGCCGAGACAGTCAGTGCCTGCTTCAAGATTATTAGGGAACGTGATCAGGCCATGAAGCAGGAGTGGATGGACAAGATGTTCCATGAAGCCGTCAGGGGACTCAAGACCAACACTGTCGAGTCAGTCCATGCTTCTCTCTTGGTTCTCAAGGAGCTGCTAGAGCAGGGTGGCATGTACATGCAAACCCACTACGGCGAGGCATGCGACATCGTCTTCCGTCACAAGGACGCCAAGGACCCGGCTATTCGCAAGACGGTGGTCCTCCTCATCCCGGACTTGGCCAACTACGCACCGAACGACTTTGCATCAACATATCTGCACAAGTTTATGATTCATCTTTCTCATATGCTTAAGAAGGAAAAGGAAAGGAACGATGCGTTTCTCGCTATCGGTAACGTTGCCAACTCAGTCAAGAGCGCCATCGCTCCCTATCTCGATGACGTCCTCATATATGTCCGGGACGGCCTAAGTATACAGTCGCGGAAGCGAGGCTCGGTCGACCCCGTCTTCGATTGTATTAGCCGTTTGGCCGTGGCCGTAGGTCAGACCTTGAGCAAATATATGGAAGCGCTCCTGGATCCAATCTTCGCCTGCGAGCTCACTCCGAAACTAACCCAGGCTTTGGTTGACATGGCCTTTTACATTCCCCCAGTCAAGGCTACCATCCAGGAACGGTTGCTCGATATGCTCAGCAAGGTATTGTGCGGAGAACCATTCCGGCCGCTAGGAGCACCGCATCCCAACACACTCACTTCGATTCCGGCCATCCCAAAAGATCCCAAGGACCCATCGGTGCAGGAGCGAGGAAAGGCCGAGGTCAAATTGGCTTTGAACACCCTTGGCAGTTTTGATTTTTCAGGTACGTTACTTTTCAGTTTCCTAAGAAGCCGGACTGGCCAAAGAAATTCCAATCTCGGTTCGATGCTGCCAGTCACGAAGAAGGCCAGTCATCGGGATGTTGGCCGGCCTACACTGATACCCCATTGGAGCGAGAACTGACCGTAGCTGCAGGACATGTCTTGAACGAGTTCGTCCGCGACGTTGCGATCAAATACGTTGAAGATGACGATCCGGAGATCCGTGAGGCAGCTGCTCTCACCTGCTGTCAGCTTTACGTGCGCGACCCCATTGTCAACCAGACAAGTTACCATGCTCTTCAGGTGGTCGCAGATGTTATTGAAAAGCTCTTGACAGTCGGCGTCTCGGATCCGGATCCCGGCATTAGACGCACTGTTCTGGCCGCCCTCGACGAGCGCTTCGATCAGCACCTAGCCAAGGCTGAGAATATTCGGACCTTGTTTTTCGCCCTTCACGACGAACAATTCGCCATCAGAGAGGTTGCGGTTTCGATCATCGGGCGTTTGGCTCGTTACAACCCGGCCTACGTCATTCCACAGTTGCGTAAGACCATTATTCAGATGCTAACGGAATTGGAATACACGGATGTGGCCAGGAGTAAAGAGGAGAGTTCCAAGTTGCTGAGTCTGCTTACGCAGCATGCCCAGGACTTGGTCAAGCCCTACGTGAACTCCATAACCGAGGTTCTCTTACCAAAAGCGCGTGATCCCACGCCTTCTGTGGCTGCAACGGTCCTTCAGGCGATCGGCGAGTTGTGCACGGTCGGCGGTGAATCCATGCTTGCTTACAAGGATACGTTGATGCCCATTATCATTGACGCCCTACAGGATCAGAGTGCTCCTATCAAACGGGAAGCTGCTCTCCACACACTCGGTCAACTTGCTAGCAACGCTGGCTATGTCATCAAACCCTATCTCGAATATCCCCAACTTCTGGAGATTCTCCAGTCAATCATCCGCGGAGAGCCCCAACACGGCACATTGCGACAGGAGACCATCAAACTTATGGGCATTCTAGGCGCTCTGGACCCTTACAAACATCAGGTATAGGATACCCTGAGGTCAATTCCAGACGAAATCAAGCACCTTCGGCATTTGACCGATCATCTACATGAAATGCTCCGGGCTAGTCCTGCAAAGGACAGTGTGGCCAGCCAAGTGGCCAATGTTGCGAGTGCGAGGAGCGGAAACCCCTCAGACAAGACCCCTGATTCCCTCAAAAACGCGTTGACTAACTTGATGCAGGTCGAAGAAAGGACTGATGACAACAAGCGGAACAATGAAGCCGCCCAACTGACTGATGTCTCTCTGATGATGGGTGGCCTAACACCATCTAACGAAGACTACTATCCGACCGTGGTGATCAACGCACTGCTTCAGATCTTGAAGGATCAGTCTTTAGTCCAGTGGCACGGAAACGTTGTCGATGCCATCATGAGCATTTTCATCACTCTGGGACTGAAGTGTGTACAGTTCCTTGATCGTGTGGTCCCCGCCTTCATATCAGTCATCCGTGCATCGAGTAACGCCCGGCTTGAGTTCTACTTCAATCACTTGAGCAGGCTGGTCAGTATCGTTCGCCAACACATCCGAGTCTATCTCAAGGACATCATCGATGTTCTTCAGGAGTACTGGCACACAACTCTTGCGCTTCAAAGCACTATCCTGGGATTGATAGAATCAATCTCGCGGTCTCTTGAGGGCGAGTTCAAGATCTACCTCGCCAAGTTACTCCCACTTATGCTGGGCGTGCTCGAGAAGGATGTTAGCACGAAGCGGCAACCTAGCGAGAAAGTGTTCCATGCGTTCCTGGTATTTGGCTCAAGCGCCGAAGAGTACATGCATCTGATAATCCCAGTTATTGTACGCCTCTTCGACAGTCACAGCCAGCCATTGTTCCTTCGGAAATCCGCCATCGAGACGATCGGCAAGCTTTCGAGCATGGTGAACTTGAATGACTACGCGTCAAAGATCATCCATCCTCTGACTCGTGTGTTGGCTAGTGGCGAGCCGAGTCTTCGGGTTGCGGCTTTGGACACACTTTGCGCCCTTATGCTGCAACTAGGACGCGACTACTTGCATTTTGAGCACACGGTCGACAAGGCGATCTCCATGTATGCCATCCAGCACTCGAATTATGAAAAGGCTATCGAGAAGCTAAAGAAGGGCGAGGCCCTCCCACAAAATCTCGCTCCTCGGTTTGAAGATATCTCCATGGAGGGCTTTGCTGCCGAAAACAACCCGCCCAAGAAGTTGACCCTGAATCCGGTGCATCTCAAGCAAGTGTGGGAAACCAAGGGCAAGTCCACCAAGGACGATTGGCATGAGTGGTTCAGGAAGTTTAGCACAACTCTTCTTACCGAGTCGCCGAACCATTCCTTGCGTGCTTGTGCCAGCTTGGCCAGCAACTACCAGCCTCTTGCGCGTGAGCTCTTTAACTCGGCCTTCGTGTCCTGCTGGAGCGAGCTTTATGAACAGTTCCAGGTATGTCAGCGCGGTACTTATAGTGATCCGAGCCGGATACTAACAGCTTCTTAAACAGGAGGACTTGATCACCAACATTGAGAATACGATCAAATCGGAGAACGTGCCACCGGATCTCCTTGGCCAGCTTCTCAACCTTGCCGAGTTCATGGAGCACGATGATAAGGCGCTGCCTATTGACATAAGAGTATTGGGACGTGAGGCCGCACGTTGCCACGCATACGCAAAGGCTCTTCACTATAAAGAGCTTGAGTTTTTGCAGGACCATAATAGTGGTGCAGTGGAGGCTTTGATTGTCATTAACAACCAGCTTCAGCAATCCGATGCTGCCATCGGTATTCTTCGTAAAGTAAAGACCTACAGGGAAGGTATTCAGTTGCGCGAGAGTTGGTTCGAGAAGCTCGAGCGTTGGGACGAGGCCCTCAACTTCTACTGCCAACGCGAGCGCGAAATTCCCGAAGACCAGCCTGTTCCCGTTGACATTGTGATGGGCAAGATGCGTTGTTACCATGCTCTTGGCGAGTGGGATTCCCTAGCTACGCTTGCTGGAAAGACCTGGGCCAATTCAGCACCTGAGATTCAGCGACGCATTGCTCCATTGGCCACAACCGCTGCCTGGGGTCTCGGCAAATGGGACTCGATGGACAGCTACCTTCAGTCAATGAAGCGCTTCTCCCCAGATAGAGCCTTCTTCGGTGCAATTCTTGCCCTTCACCGCAACCAGTTCAGGGAGGCTATGGCGTGCATCGAGCAAGCTCGCGAAGGACTGGATACCGAGCTTAGTGCGCTTGTTAGCGAGTCTTACAACCGGGCTTATCAGGTTGTAGTACGCGTCCAGATGCTCGCGGAGCTGGAAGAGCTCATTGTCTACAAGCAATGCGACGGAGAGAAGCAGGCAACCATGCGCAGAACCTGGGAGACTCGTCTCAAGGGCTGCCAGCGCAATGTCGAGGTATGGCAACGCATGCTGCGTTTGAGATCGCTTGTCATGACTCCGCAGGAGAACATGCATATGTGGACCAAGTTTGCCAACCTTTGTCGCAAGTCGGGCCGCATGGGACTCGCCGAAAAGTCACTCAAGCAGCTTATTGGAACCGACTCGCCGTTGGACTCCGTCATTCCTTACTGGCATGATCGCCATCCGGGCCCAGTCGGCAACAGAATCGCGTCTCCGATCTTGTATGCGGTTCTGAAGTTCCAGTGGGAGATTGGACAGTCACCAGGATTCCGCAATTCGGAGCACAGGGTTGCCGAGAAGACGCTGTACTGCTTGCAGAGGTTCACGCAGGAGACTGCGCACCGCGTTGAGACCTCGCGTATGCACATGGCTGCCCATGCACAGAACGGCATGGAGGTACAAAACCAGCCAGGGTTTGCTGAGTTTAATGAAGAGATGTTGCATCCACAGGCACAGAAACACTGGCTTGAGCAGACTGTCTTGCTTGCCAAGTGCTATCTACGCCAGGGTGAGTGGATGGTCTCGCTGAACAAGGACGACTGGCAGCAGAGATACCGCGCTGAAGTCCTTGACTGCTACTACAAGGCTACCCACTACAACAACAAGTGGTATAAGGCTTGGCACGCATGGGCTCTGGCCAACTTCGAAGTCGTTCAGTACCTGACAGGAAACCGTGAGGTTGATGTGCGCAACAATGGGGAGCAGAATTACATCATTCAATACGTGGTGCCTGCTGTTCGCGGATTCTTTGAATCCATCGCGCTGTCCTCTGGCAGCTCTTTGCAGGACACTTTGCGCCTCTTGGCCTTGTGGCTCACCCACGGTGGCCACATTGATGTCCATAACGCCGTCACTGAAGGATTTACGCGTGTCAGTGTTGATACCTGGCTTGAGGTCATACCCCAGTTGATCGCCAGAATCAACCAGCCTCACAAGAGGGTGCAGCAGTCAGTCCATGGGTTATTGGCCGACGTTGGTCGTGCTCACCCCCAGGCGTTGGTGTATCCGTTGACAGTCGCAAGAAAGTCCTGGCACAACACGCGTAGGGTACGGTCGGCCAACCAAATTCTTGAAAGTATGCGTCAACACAGTCTCCGGCTTGTTGAGCAAGCGGAAATTGTCAGTGGTGAGCTCATTCGCGTCGCAGTGCTATGGCACGAGTTGTGGCACGAGGCCCTCGAGGAAGCTTCGCGCTTGTACTTTGGCGACCACAACATCGAGGGCATGTTTGCCACTCTCGAGCCGCTTCACGAGTTGCTGGAGGCTGGCCCGCAAACCCTTAGGGAAATCTCTTTCGCCCAGACCTTTGGCCGTGATTTAAGCGAAGCGCGGGATTGGTGCCGTCAGTATCAAGAGACACAAGACTCCAATGACCTTAACCAGGCATGGGACCTTTACTACACGGTGTTCCGTCGCATCACCCGTCAACTTCCGCAGATGACCTCCCTCGAGTTGGCTTACTGCTCGCCTAATTTGCTAAACGCCAAGGATCTCGAACTTGCTGTGCCCGGAACGTACCGCAGTGGCCAGGAGGTTGTTAGGATCATGTCTTTTGACGCCACCTTCAGCGTGATCAGCTCCAAGCAGCGGCCTCGCAAGCTCGATATCGTTGGCAGCGATGGCAAGACATACACTTTCCTTCTCAAGGGACACGAAGATATCCGCCAAGATGAGCGTGTCATGCAGCTGTTCGGTCTTTGCAATACTTTGTTGGCCAACGACTCGGAATGCTTCAAACGACACCTCAACATTCAGCGATACCCGGCTATTCCTCTTTCACAGAACTCTGGTCTTCTCGGCTGGGTCCCCAACAGTGACACTGTCCATCAGTTGATTCGGGAGTACAGAGATTCCAGAAAAATTCTCCTCAACATTGAGCACCGTATCATGTTGCAGATGGCTCCCGACTACGACAACCTTACGCTTATGCAAAAGGTTGAGGTCTTTGGATATGCTCTTGATAATACCACTGGCCAGGATCTGTACCGTGTCCTGTGGCTGAAGAGCAAGTCTTCTGAGGCCTGGCTGGATCGGAGAACAAACTACACACGTTCTCTTGGTGTCATGTCGATGGTCGGCTACATCCTCGGCTTGGGCGATCGCCATCCGAGCAACTTGATGCTTGACCGTATCACGGGCAAGATCATCCACATTGATTTCGGTGACTGCTTCGAAGTAGCCATGAAGCGCGAGAAGTATCCTGAGCGGGTGCCGTTCAGACTGACTCGCATGCTCACATATGCTATGGAAGTTAGTAACATAGAGGGTAGTTTCCGTACCACTTGTGAGCATGTGATGAGGGTGTTGCGCGAGAACAAGGAGAGTGTCATGGCTGTCCTTGAAGCTGTAAGTATCCTTTGCTGCGTTTCTTTCTAAACAGGATTGCTAACTGATACGCGAATTAGTTCATTCACGATCCTTTGCTCAACTGGCGCTTGACCAACCCTACCAGTCCGCCCGGTCCCAACTTCAACGCCGAGCGAGAGGTCGCCATGCCGGGTGGCCCTGGTCCGCGCGCCCGCAGGCCATCAATCCTTGACGCTCCCGTGGCACCCACCGAGTTCCTTGCCGCGCAGGCTGCTCCTGGCGCAGATGGGCATGGAATGGGGATGTCCGCTAACCCCGGACGCTCCCGTGCCCGCACCAATTCGTCTGCCATCTATCCGACTGGTAGCAGCATGGTTAATGGCCATGGAAACAACCAGCAAGAGCAACAGGAGGTTCAGAACGCGCGCGCCCTCGAGGTTTTGGACCGTGTGCAGCAGAAGCTCACTGGTCGCGACTTCAAGCCTCATGAGGAGCTCAACGTTACTGATCAGGTCAACAAGCTGATCATCGAGGCCACCAAGCTTGAGAACTTGTGCCAGCACTACATAGGATGGTGCAGTTTCTGGTAAACAGTCTTTAGGGAGATGAAAACAGGACGTTGGGATATGGTTCATCGAAAGCTTTGGTGGCTGGTGGTCCTAGACTTGCTATAACTTTGCTATAACTTGCTATAAAGGTGAAACAGGGGGATTAGAATACTGGTTGAAATGGTGCTATCGGTGAACTGGGGCGGGTTTTGATGGGAACAAGCGAGATCATCAAGTTGGCGTTGGGGAAGTGGTTACAAAGGCACTTTTGCGTTGTTTTGTCTGGGTAGATGTTCATTTTATGTTTTTAATAGAGCGCGTATACAAAAGCCGGCTGTTTGCCTGCGGTGAAACACGAAGTGATCTCGAACTGCCTCAATGCTTCCTGAAGCAACTTTGTTCATCCTCGTCCCTGGCAACTAGGGTCATATTAAACAAGATATTGGCCGATGCACACCTCATTTCAAAGAATAGGGAGCATGAAGCCAACCATTCCTAAAACCGCAGTTAGAACCAGCCCGACCGATACCGACAGCACACCAGCTCCTCCCGGCTGCGTAACATCTCCCGCCGAAAGTCCCGTGGACTGCGCAGCCCGCGTCGAAGTCAAAGTACTTGACGTCGTGGAGCTCATTGGCGTGCTAGACGGTGTAGTCACATCATCAGTCCCATCATCGACGCTGAGAGTTGGACGAACCGGCATCGTCGCTCCCGGGTGACCACCGTCACTAGCAGAATCCTCTGTTTGCACTGGTGGCGCGGCGACGGAAGAAGAAGAAGAAGACGATGTCACCGCCGGTGCCTGCGTCCGAGTTGTCGTGGGCGCGGGATTGGAACCACCGCCACCGCCACCTCCGCCAGAGCCGCTGCCTCCTGAACTGCTGCAGGTCCTACCGTTTCTGCAGCAGCCGGTTGCTGTGCAGTAGAAGCCAGACTGGATGGTTTATTCCCGTCAGTTGCTTTCTATATGAGAAGGAAATCGACTGGCATGTCAAAGGGGTCAACTCACATCGCAATACCACCCTTCGCCGGTAGCGCAGCAGACACTTCCCAGCGGCATGCACCAGCCGACATCACAGTTTTCCTTTCCGGCGGCACTGCAGGTGTTGGAACCGCTACCACCACTTCCTCCTCCTCCTCCTTCACTACCGCCCCCGCCTCCGCTACCTCCACCACCTGAACCAACAGCGCAGGTTCCGTGGTCGGTACAAACTTCGCCGGTGTCACAATAGCCATGGTCGGGACAGCAGACGGCGCCCGCGGGCATACAACTGTTGAGAAAGAGAACAAAGAGTCAGCACCAGAATTGACTTTGCCTCTGATCGCAAAGGACCGGGGAAACTACAGCTGGTTTCTTACCCATTGCCACAAAGTACCTTTCCAGCATCACACCCACCACCTGGCGAACAGGTCTTGCCAATCGGACAACAGGTATCCCTTACGGTGCAGTATTCGCCTGGGTCGCAGTATCCTTTTCTAGAATATGGTCAAGAACCGTCAGCCCATCATCGTCCACAAAGCAGCACCTTTTGGTTTTCTGCCGCAAGAGTTGGATGGATCGATCACATACCCAGAGCAGCAAGTACTAGCCAAAGGCATACACCCGATTCCACAAGTCGTCTCTCCTATACCACAACCCGCCGTATTGCTACCTGTACCAATGGCAACGAGACCTTGGTTTGGGTTGGGTGAGGTACCAGGCACGGTGGGAAGTCGTTCGTAGACGAAGCCGCCTAGAAGAGCGCGGGTGGCTAGAGTTTGCATGCGCATCTTGTGTCGTTTTGTCGTTTCGGTTTCGAGAACAAGGAGATGGGAGTGAGAAAGTCGATATGGAGCTGAGCTCACGCCGGAGCGAAAGGTTGATCAAAAAGTTCGAAACTGAGAGTGAGAACACCAGACTTATAACCACAACCAGGAAAGGTGTATAGCCCAACCGCAAGTCTGGACGCGATGAACTATTTATACCTTCTTTTCCATCTCTTCATCACCCCGACCACCACACCGCGTCCAGCCGTCCATCCATCCACTCATGGCTTTTGGTGACTCCGCGAAATTTCCACGTCAACTAAGGCCGTCCACGCCATCCACGCCATCAAGTATTCTAGCCCGCATCATTTGACGAAACAGAGTGTCGACCACTGCACGGTTCTGCACCTAGCACCGCACCAATCCAGGCTTGCTATGGGCCATACCACTTCAAAGGAACAAGATCAACGGTCCCCAAGCCTTGAACCAGGGGACTCCTAGCTCAACTCTGTGCAGTGCAGTCCATACGCAGTATAGTCTAACACAATGCAGATCATCTCCAAACAGTGGGTAGGTAGCTTCAAATTGGTCTCTATGAATCTTTTGCATTTACTATTACTGAACCACTAGTATAGTTCCCTGCCTAGTCTAGGTAACAAAGAGCTACTTACTTACTTAGTTGACAATCCATCACTTTTTTTTTGTTTTTTTCCAAGCCATCCAAGCCACACTTATTTTATGCCCCAGCTTCACCATCCACTAACATCACATCTCATCACAAAAGCTGTCATTCACTTATATAGGTACATCAAACATCAGGGTTCCAAGGGAAATTACAGGACCAGGTACCTACCTACACTAATAAGACTGGAGCAAGCCCAGCACATGTCACATGTATTCAAATCAAAGAAGAGCAAGCAGTACGGTACCTCTATGTACCCCGTCAATTAACTTCCCCCCCCCCTGTGGTGGCGTTCAACAATCACCTTTCCTCAACTCAACTGGGGAAGGGGGGCTCTCCTCCTCCTCCTCCTCCTCCTCCTCCTCCAAATATATGCGGGTACTGTATCTGGGGAAAGAGGATGGAAGCTAGGATAGGGGTCTTAAGGGTGTGACACTAAGGTCTAAGGGTCCATCACAGTGCATGCCAAGACCTGTTGCTTACTCGTGAATCGGAGCAATTTCGTGCCGTGGGCTTTTTCAGCCCTAAAGCTTATTTGGGGTTTAGGTCAATGAAGATCTTTCTTGAAGAAACTGTTTGAGGAAGCTGAGGTTGCCGCCATGACCAAGATCTGGGAACGTGAGTAGTAGGGGTGTAACGATGGGTGCCGGGTCGATTTGTGGTTGGGAGTGATGGTGCCTGATTTCAAAATAGAACGTTGACGAGAGGACGGCAGGAATTGGTTAGGATGATATATGCAAGGGGATTAGATGTGTGATTGGTGTATTGTGGCTTGCAAGTTATTGTCTTGTCTACGGGCAACGATTAACATTTTCCCTCACTTCGAGAATGGTTGTGATGGGAAATGAATACGATCACTCCTATCCCTTTAACGGTGAAAATGTTATATTTTAGCGCGGTAGGGATTAGCAACCAATCGGCGGTTCCCCTTCTTAGCGGTTGACATTTTGGAGCATGCAGATACCTCGAAAACTCCCGCATTTGCAGTACTTTTAACATTGCAGTGAATGTCATGTGCGTGTGTGTGGAGATTGGAGTAGAAATTAACCAATATATTTTAAGCCAAAATAAAGCTATTCCTAGAATCAATTAACGTAGGTAGGCTAGCCAGCAGCGCTCTCGCTTATAGATTGAAATCTAATAGGTAGTATACTCTAAAAACGTTAAAATGCGTAATTTTTTCGTTAAGTACGAGGGTGAGCTATTGGTCTAGAAAGTAATTGATTTTCTATACTTTATCGAGGAGCATATTGTACATGTAGCTCGCTTTGAGAATTGTCCTCTTTTATAATATTTTACTAATAATTCCCTAATATTTAATATTAGGGATTTATTTATAGAAGTGTAGTATATAGTAGTGGTTTTATTGTGAAAAGCCTAAATTTTATTAATTAATTAATTTTGAAAATCTATATATATAGTTTATGTCAGGAGGCTCAGAGCTCGTACACGGAAGCACCTCAGCGGCTGCTGCTCCCCTTCGTCAACCGACGCGTAGGATCACTAACGATAACGCCCATATCGGGTCGGGCTCGCGGGAAGGATAATCCAGTATTGCATTGAAGCGCTAGACTAGTACGAGGCTTTATAATACTTATTAGCGAATAAATAGAGTTTATATAGGTATAAAAGAGGTTTAATGGAGTATAATTTATTATAATTGGTAGCTATTAATATATTTTTAAATTAACCTTTAATTTACTGTCCCCTATATATAGCTACGATTATAGTTACCTTAGCCTACTTTTAGCCTACGTTCTTAATAAATTAATAATTCTTCCTCCGGGAATTAAATTAATATTATTAAAATATATATATATAGCGGCCGGTCTATTTCTTATACTGCCGAGGCTACCCTTCGTTCTTTTTGTATTACTATTTCCGTAATTATTATAATTGAAACGATCCAACCTCCTCCGCCTTTATTGTAATAACGCTAGCTTACTGTAGAGTCTGTTAAAGAAGATAGTAATAAAGATTATTCCCTTATATTACCCCGGGCTTCCCGTTCGTATTTTTAAGTTTTGGAAGTCGATAAATTCGTATATAAATAGTAATTATTCAAATTTCGGTTCGTTATAATTAAATTCCTTTTTAATTACCTCCTTTTATATATATCTTAGTAGGAGTAGTTCGTATTTGTAAACCTTACTAAATAAAATTTAGTAGGAAATTACCCCTTTATTTCTACCGGGTTCTATTATTAGGATTACCTCTTTTATAATTAGATTTATATTTCTATTATATTTCCTTTTACTATTCCTTCGTTGGCGGCCGTTATTGTAATTACCCTTTTACTAACCGTGGTTATACTGGCCCGTATTAAGTACTATTTTAAATATAATATTACTAAATTTACTAATGAAAATTTCTTATAATTACAGAATTATTTTTATAATATTAATATATATTTTTAGGAATACCCCTATATTTCCCTCTTGTTCGTTATTAATTATATTAAAGGTAACTTTAAAAATATATAAATTAAATATATATTAGTTCTCTATAATAAATTTAAGTATAATATTATTTATAATACGTTTATATAGAGCGACCTCTGTACCTTCTTAGAGACCGAATATAATAGTAATATTTAAACTATTGAACGATCTAC